AGGCTATGTTATGTTGCCCATTTCGGCTATGTCACGTTGCCCACGCAGGCTATGTCACGTTGCCCACGTAGGCTATGTAATGTTGCCCACGTAGGCTATGTTATGTTGCCCATGTCGGCTATGTCACGTTGCCCACGTAGGCTATCTCACGTTGCCCACGTAGGCTATGTCACGTTGCCCACGTAGGCTATGTCATGTTGCCCACGTATATGTTCTTTCAATATATTTATCAAATGTTTGTGTATCACTAGCAATAACGACGATTCCGCCAAGGTTATTTTAAATCAAATTGCAACTTTTACATAATTACTATGCGTGTCATACAAAATAGAATTTCTATATTATTTCTTAGATGTTATTCCTACGGAGGGTGATCCTGTTCCCATTGGAGATTTCGGTAGAGTGGCTTCTGGAGGATCGTTTCAGGTTGATGAGAACGTGCACATCCCTGGAGAAGATGAGGATCTCTATCTACCATCAAGAATATCAGATCTAGAAAGCCCTTCATCGAACTATGATGAACAAACAATAACATTACGTTGGACTGCCGTGGGTGACGACCTTGACCAAGGAACAGGTACATAGATTTAATATCTGAATTAAAATACTGCATCATCACTCGATCTGTTTTGTTATTTATACACTAAATCTCTTCAATTAATAAACACCATTGTTACAATGGGAGGCGTTTATTTTTGTATTCGTGTTGCTTAAATGTATGAACAAAAAGCAATTCATGCTTTAATGATGTTACAGCACAACTAATATATAATATAATAATATATCACACAGCTTGTAATATATGTGCACCGTAAATCTTTTCATTTCAGCTGACCATTATGATCTTAGATATTCCACATATTTTAGTGAGATTTTGAATCACTTCGATAATGCTACACAAATCATAGAAGACGACTTGGTTGTTGGGAATTTAACTTCTCCGCTGCCATCTGGTTCTGAAGAGAATTTCATCGTATGGCTTCCTACAAGAGGAACGGGTACAACGTACTACTTCGCTGTACGTGCTGTGGACAAAGCTGACAACGAAGGTGACATTTCCAATGTGGCACAGAACACTATAGTGCCAATTCCGACAAGTGGACTGGAGTGGTGGGAGATATTTCTAATTACTCTTGGTTGTGTCCTTGCCATTGCCATCATTGTGTGTGTAATTGTATGCGCAGTACATTATTGTCGGAAGATGAACAATACTAAAGACTCTTCTCAAACTGCAAACACTGTAGATCTAGATAATCCTTCATTTACTGTGAACACCATTTAAACACCAGATCATATATGGCAGGTCTGAGGATACTTAACTAATAACCAAGCTTATTCCACACTGCAGGAATAAGTTCGGTTATCATGTATTAGTTGTGTATGCCCGGTGGCCAACTGGAACAGCTAGGCGATTTGTTGCCGTTGTCGCCAGTTCGAATCATAAATATGACGCTTTCTCGTAAACATCATTACATTTTCCGTGAATTATTTTCATATGTATCTCAGGGCAGTTTTGCAAATAAATGCATGCTAAAGAAATAATCAAACTAGATAATATTATCACAATACAATGCTTGAA